TAGTGAAGACTGAGGCAAAGAAGTCATGATTTTGGAAACAAAGCTATGACTAGAAATTTTGCCTGCTTTGAAAAAGTCAGGGAATGGAGACCACTGAGTGTGCCATGTGAAGAGTGACTTTGTATTTTTGGCTGTACAATGTAGTTAGCAATCAAATGATTTGGTTTTTGAAAGCCACATGACTTCTATTTACTTTAAGGAGTTAGCTATTAAATAGCTGACCTTAACAAGACAAAGGGAATAAGCTGCCTCTTTCTGGGACACACAGAGCTTTTTATTCCTGTAGAATTTCTTTATGGCACAAGTTGTGGGATCTGCTTGTCACAGGCAGCCTGGTAAAGTGTTTGCTGCTGTTTGTTTTCTTTCTGTTCAGGAAAAGTTAAAGATTTTGCTCTTGGGTTTTAAGTCAGTGCCTCATTTCTGTAACAGCTAGAGAACAGCAGCAAGTTGATTTCATTTTCTGTTATTGTAGGCTATAAAGTCCATGAAGTTAAAATGGCAGTGTAGTAAACTGTTTATTCTATAAAGTCTTTATTTAACTTAAAATAATTGCTCTCTGTGACAGTTCTAATAGTAGTTCTAAAAAAGCAGTATCAATATGTCAAGAGTCTAATTTTAGTGAGGCTTTTCCATCCCAGGCCTGTGGCTCAGTAATCCTTTCTCAATTCTTTCTACTTAGTGTCAGTCCTGTTCATCAGTTCTGGATTTGTGGCGTTTCTTTTGGGAACAGAATTACTTTTCAGTGTGATCTCTGTACAGACCTCGGGCTCTGGCACAGTAAACTGGTTTGAGTGTGGCTTAGCACACAATTCAAAAAACCAATATATATTTAACTTGAGCAGTACTCATTTGTTCTCCAAATGGCCTGCTGATTGCTTCAATATGAGCAGTTCTTCTATTTTAAGTAGATCCTAGCCTGAGATTTTGCAATTTCAATCTGAATTAGCTGAATCTTTTATGAAGTCTGGACAGTTGAAGGGCATTTGGAACTTTGGGCATGGGATTCTCCCTGTGGAGAACTTGTTCTGGCTCTAGATTAACCCCTGACTACTCTGAAAACAGAGGGTATTCTGTAGATCTGTATCTTGAATCTTATTCAAACCATACTGCCTGAATGAAGCAAGTCAAAGCATGGCATTTTAGATTATTACCCTCATTGGTGACTTCCTAAATTGGTGTGACTACAGAAAGCCATTTATGCTCTCAAGAATACCATTTATGACATCCTGCAAAGCTGACAGCTTCCTAAATTGATGATGGGGGTTGTGGGCTTTTTT